GACTGAAGATTGCAATGTTTCATCTTCTAATGAAGATTCCAACAGGTCAAAAAATATTGGGGAGGAAGGGGGGTTGATAATGAAATCCCCACAGACACAATCAACCTTATTTCATCCTTAAGGAAACCCAGGGAATAGAGCCAGGGCCAAACACAGCATGGCCACCCCATCCAGACTACCCCCCTCTGCCCTGGGAATGTAGTTGGGGTAAAATATTGTTACAACTGACCTCTTCCAAGTCCTGAAGACAACTGTCTCCTTGTGCACATTTGTGCTGGTTAGACCCTCCTCCCTAGAAAACAATGGAACCCCAGAAGCGGAGAGGGACTCCCACAGAAGCATCTGAAGAGGTGTTTCCTGAATTCATGCATGTACCAAACACCACTTTAAACCAGGGGTGCTCAACCTCTACACTACTGAGGTACAGATGAGATATTCTGACACTTGTGAAGCCGGTAAGGAAGATTTCATTCAGGACTACTGCGACAGGTGTCAAGATGCTTGCAATAGAAGAGAGAGATCAGGCTCAACTCCAAACACAGCCAAGACAGCTGGGAATTTATACCAACAAGCAGAGCGCAGGGGCCAGAGATGGAAAATGGGTAAGGCAAGACATCCAGGGTAGGGAGATTCTTACCAAACTGACCTAACAGGACTCTTGCTAAACGCAGGGTGACCAGCTAGGAAGAGTTGGGGGATTTTCACTAGACTGACTCAACAGAATTCTTGCTAAAACTAGGCAGGCCAAACACAGGATGGGGCCAAGGCTGAAACCTACTTGAGAAGAAGGCTCAGAAAGTCTAACTACAGTTTGGGCAAGGAGCAAGTCTTGGTCAGCATTCCGGACCAGTTAATTCTTTGTCTAGAGAGGCCATTCTGTGCTCCGTGAGATGTTCAGCTGCATCTCTGGCTTCTACCCTCTGATCGCCAGCAGCATCCCTCCCCCACCTTCCCTATCTGTGACAGTCTAAAAGGCCTTGAGACAGTGCCAATTGTCCCCTGGGGGCAAATTTCCCTCTGCTTAAAAACCACAGCTTTAGACCAAGGGTTGACAAACTTTTTCTGTAACATCAGAGAGTAAATATCTTAGACTTTGCAGGATACATTTATGCTCTCTACACATTTTCTCCTTTGTCTCCCCCCTCCCTCACCCCCCAGCCATTTAGAAAGGTATAAACTATTCCTATCTGGTGGTACATAGAAAAACAGTCAGGAGGCCAGATCTGGTCCATGGGCCATTGTTTGCCAAACTCTATTTCAGACTAAATGCCACTTTTCAAATAAATATAGATGATGTACAGATAATTATGTTTAACAAAACACACATTTACTTAAAACTATGATTAGGGTCTTAATAATGTCTATCAATATTCTTTTCTCAATTGAGGGGAACAGAATTAGAGGCGGAATCTAGTAGCAGTCCAGAGTATGTTTTTACATTAGAAAAGTGTGCTCATCCTCAATAGAGCCTGGGGAAATGTTTAAATGCTTAAAATGTTCCTGCAAATCTTCCCTCCCCTAAATATAACCCAAACCTTATTCCCATCCGTAAGTTCCAAAATCCCCACCTGCATATTATTGAAATAGGGGTTTGTTTTTGTTGTTCGTTTTTACCTGACACCATTTTTGGTTTATATTTAACATGTTTTTCATACTCTCTCTCCTTATCTGACACTCTGAACTACGTCTCTAAAATTGATCTATTCCTGGCTACAGAGTCTGTGAATATGAAGTAGGTCACTGGGTCACCTTATCTTGATTGAGGGTCAGTTACATCAGTGGTTCTCAACCTTCTGGCCCTTTAAATACAGTTCCTCATGTTGTGACCCAACCATACAATTATTTTCGTTGCTACTTCATAACTGTAATGTTGCTACTGTTATGAATCATAATGTAAATATCTGATATTCAGGATGGTCTTAGGCGACCCCTGTGAAAGGGTCGTTCGACCGCCAAAGGGGTCGCGACCCACAGGTTGAGAACCGCTGAGTTACATGAACCCATATGCTCCATGATCCTCTCCACTTTTGCCTCTAGAAACAAATATATACTCATATATTAACAGGATTGCCCAGGAAACGGCATGCTAAAAATGACCCTATGACTACATAGAGATTATACCACAGTCCAACTACTAAATAGGAGATTTTAAGTTTCGCAGTGCTTTTGTTTCTAATCGCTACAACAAATGGCACTAAGAAAAAAAATTACTGGTCTAAACTGCTAGAAAAAATGTCTCCAAACAAATGCAGGAAAACATGTAATATGTAAATCATAAACCGCATAGGATATGTCTTCCATGTGGTTATTCTTCTTTCATTAAAACATCATCATTAAAATTTCAGATTTGCTTCTAGACCCTTGATAGCAAAGTAACAGATCATCAAAACAGAATATTCTTTATTTTCAACTGAATTTATTTTTAAATAATAAAAACAATAAGCACTGCAAAAAATATATACAGGCATATAAAGATAGCAAAAATCACTCTAAGACCATCAAGGGAGGTCAACCATTTTTCTATTCTTCTTTCTATATTTTCTAATAATTTCATAAATTTTAAAAAATCAGAAGCGTAACATATGTGTTTGTATACACATTTGGCAAAAGATTTGGCAATGGGTATCAACAAATACAGGTTCTATATCTTTAATCTCTTCTGTTCATTCTTCTATAAATCTATCATAAAAAAACAGAAATCCAAACAAAAGTTATGTACTAATGCACTAAGTCATTCACCAAAGACTTTTCTTAAGAAAAATTAGAACAAACTAAATGTTCAATAATAAGAGAAGGACTAAATCTATATATGGGACATCCATATAGTGGAATGAAAGACAATTAATATAACTGGATGTTTTTTAAGTATTTAATGACTTGAGACTAAATCTTGATTTCTGTTCTTTCCATTTAATACTATATCCTGAGCATTTTTCCAAGTCATTAAATTCCCCAAAAAATCCAATTTAAAGAATTTCGATTTACAGAAGATTGAACAGAAGGAGATTAAAGATAAAGATTCAGCCCAAGCCGGTTTGGCTCAGTGGATAGAGCACTGGCCTGCAAACTGAAGGGTCCCGGGTTCGATTCTGGTCAAGGGCACATGCCCAGGCTGTGGGTTCGATCCCCAGTAGGAGGCAGCTGATCAATGATTCTCATCATTGATGTTTCTATCTCTCTCTCCCTCTCCCTTCCTCTATGAAATAAATAAAAATATATATATTTTAAAAAGATAAAGATTCAGCCCTGGCTGGTGTGGTTCAGTGGTTATAGCATTGGCCCCGGAACCAAAGGATCAAGGGTTCAATTCCCAGTCAAGGGCACAATTCCCAGCCCCAGTCGGGGCCCATGTGTGAGGCAACCAGTTGATGTATCTCTCACATCACTATTTCTCTCTCTCTTCTCCCCCACCTTCCACTCTCTCTAAAAATCAATGGAAAATATCCTCGAGTGAGGATTAACAACAACAACAACAAAAGATAAAGATTCATTTTTTTCTTGCCAAACTTTTTGCCAGATGTTCTGGCGATTTACACGCCCACCAACAGATTCTGGGAACATCTCAATTATTCTTTAACAAAACATCCTCTTAAATCAACAAGTGCAAATACCCCCAAAAATTATAATAAAGATTCATAATAGTAATCATTTCAATTTTTAGATGCTTATAATTAAAACTCCTAAAATATTAAAAAATTGATAATTTTATGTAAAGTGACTAGAGGCAAAAAAGGTAAAATTCCTTTCAAATCCATTTTAGCTATTTATTTTAAAAAGTGCTGCCATACTGATCTGTAAATTATTTACTAAAACTGTGATCACTTAAGGAGAAATCATCCTAAGCTATTTAGAGACTTCTTGTTACCACTTAATATTCATTCTCTCCTTCCTTATTAACAGAACCCTGATTTTGTACCAAGCAGCAAAGAACTAAGACAAAAAAAAACTATCTCCTAGCCTCCTTTGCAGCCAGAAGTGATACTGTGATATCCTCCGATCAATGAGTTGAGGGGAAATCCTTGAAGACCTTTCAGGAAAGCCCCTGAAAGGGGTGGAGAGGGGGCAGAAGGCAAACCGTTGACAAAGCTTCCTTTTGCTTTTTGACAGCTCCCTTCATTCCTAGAATGAGGACCTGCAGGTGGCTAGCCTTCTGGCAGCCATGCTGACATGAGAACAGGGTGCCAGCATCACACCCAGGTGAGTGGAGAAGGAAGACAGTGGGTCTCTGATAATCAAGGGGCCACTCTCCTAAGCCTGGATAGCCTAGGTCCAGACTTACTTTCTGAGGAAGAAAAATAATCCCCTAATTTGTTTAAGCCATTGATCCTGGTAATTACTTTTGGGTGAGCTTAACCCCAACTGATATATCCCCCTTCTAGAGTTACTGTACAAAGATAAGAAGCGTGGCAGAAATCAATTAGCTCATTTAAATACTCATTTAGTCTTCCATACATCAACATCTACTTAACACCCCTACTGGGTGACAGAAACACAGAAATAAATAAGATGGAATTTACAGTCTAAAAGAAGCAACTGAATAGACAATCAAAATGAAGTCTGAAGAGTCACATGGTAAGAAAAGAATGGTTAGCTGTGGCAGCATATAAGAAAAACACTTAACCCAAACTTTGGAATGTAACTAGGATCAGAAAAATCTTTCCAGTTGTTATAAAAATGGTAGTGTTAGCCAGGCAAATGGGGCAGTGGGGGAGGAGTATTCTAGGGAGAAGGAAGAGTACTTTTGAAGGCCCAGAGGAAGAAGAGATAAGATGATGTACCACAGGGAGTGCTGGTTCACTGTGGCTGGAGCACAGACTTGGAGTGGGCGTGAGAAGAGCACTCTTCTTCTTGTCAATCTCTCTCTGGGCCAGAATAGACTCTGACATTTTTTATTACAGTAAGTAGAAACTTAGTTCCAAAAGAGGCAAAGACTAATCAAAAGATAGCATTTCTCTTTTACTTCCTAACCCACAAAATGTCAGGTACCACCCAGGTATTACCTGCACTCTTCTAGCAGTCAACTCGCGGTCAGACTCTTCAAATGTCTGAACGTTCTGCTCCTCAGAATTGGTGGGGTTTGCTCAACAGTGAAGTGGATAATAGAAGATTTGTCCTGCACTGGATCACTGACTGTGGAGGGGGAGGCTGGCGAATGTAGAGGTGTCATGATGAGAGTAACTACTAGAAAGAATAAGACTGATAATAATATAAGGAAATGGATGGAAAGAGGACACCAATTATAACAGTGGGGGCAAGCGGCATGGAATAGAGCACTAATAATGAACGTGGAAGTGTGTTTAAGAGAGACTTGGAAGGTGGGCTCAGGAGGGATACACGAGGTGGGGAGGGCTAAGCTAAGGGTAATCCTAGATTTCGGGCTCAGGCTACTGAGAAAGGAAGGTACCAGAGCACAATGATCAGGACTACCTGCTCTGGGAGTCCATCTCCACCAATGAATAGTTTTGTGACCTTGTGAAAGTTACTTAAACTCCATATGCTTTGGTTTCCGCATCTGTATAATGGGAATAATAACAGAATCTATCTCAAAGGGTTTTGTGAGGAGTTACATGCAAGTTCTTAGGACAGTGCCTGACATGTGGGAAATGCCAGATAAATGTAGCTACATCAGGGTGATGGTGATGCCATTCACTGAGACAGAGAACATGAGAGAAGGCCCAGTGGGGGAGCG